AAGTTCAAACTTCACACACACATGGTACATCATGTCACAAATAGATATGTGCATTTGTTTCATGATCTGCTTAACAATAGCGGAATGATGGCCATTTTAAGGCTGAAAATGCATCAAAATCACATATTTTCACAATTCCAGAACCGGATCTCAGTCATGCATGGATGGATTTTGTTCAGATTTAGCACAATGTGTTGTACATATGCAGGTGCATTTCGGTCATGATCTGCTTTGAATGTATATGTCACTCAAATATGAACGGAACGGGGACGTGTCATTGACAATGACTTGTTCAATATGATTCCCATGTAACATAAACAATGCTTGTTTGCGGTGCTTTTAAAGATGTAAGGATACAATTTTGTTATTCCCCTTGCTAGGAAAACCAGTGAGATCTTCACAGCAAAATGTTCCAATTTTCTTTTAGAAATTTGTCTCTTCAGCAGTATATGCTATCACTTCTGTATTTTATTTTGAATACTAAAATTTGTCACAGTTCACTGTATCACTTATAAATCTATATTTTATGTTGAATATGAAATAATAAGAAATGTGTTTATTTAATTTTAGTATTATGAAGAAAGCATGGAGCTGTGTTTACAGACATACGGTGAAATTCATGTACTACGCTGTCGTCAATTGCTAAATATCGGGATATACTATGAAGATGTGGGTGATTACTACAAAGCGTATGACTTCTTTAAAAAATGGACATATGTTACTGAACAGGTAAATGCCTTGTGTTATCATTAAGTAAATATAAATTTCGTTTAAAGCCTAAAATCATGAAAAAGTAAAGAAAACTAAGTTGTAATGTTTCATTTATGCTTTTTTTTTATTCAAATATATGTTTATATTTTATAGTTATATGGATTGGAACATCCAAAAACAAAACGTGCAATTAGTACACTGGAAGAGCCGATGTACGTCAGAATAGCAAGAAACTCGTAGAAAGACTACAAAGATATGGAGTATATGGTAATTCAGCTGAATGCATATAAGGAGTTGAGGAGGAGCAACTTGGGGGGGGCATAGTAGAAAAACTACGTAAACTATTTTTTTATGTTTGAGTTTATATATATACGGTATATATATATATATATATATATATATATATATAGTTTTTCTTTAATTACTCCATGTCACTTCCATCGTAAGATTTGTTTTCACCTAACCCCCCCCCCCCCAGTTTATATTAGTCAGTCCCTAAATATACAGACCATAATCACATTGTGTGGGAGTTTTATTTCAATAGTCAAAAACGTTTTTTATCTTATATGAGGTTACCACGACAATAAAATGTTACCATGGTTATATGGATAGTTGATGCTTTAAATACATGTATTGATTTCAGAAAGAGCCCATTTTTATTGGTGAACTCTAAACTGTCTGTAAGTCTGACATTTTTAACCTAATCAAAGTACCAATACAATGCATGGTATATATTATGTGCAAATATATTTATGTTTTCTGGATATTTATACTGAGTACTACATTTACAAATACTATTCATGTTTTAAGAAATTATATAAGATTTAGAGTGAAAAATAATATATAATAATTATGAGTAAACACGTGGATGTAATATACCTAATTGTCAGAATAGAATGGAGGCTGATTTTAGTGAAAATGATCAGCAAATTTTCATCCATTTGCTTTTTGAAATTAGAAAAAAATTATGATTTAAAGAATATTCTACTTTTAATACAAGTTTTTATCACACTGTTATATCATCAGGCATTTTTTTTATACTTGAAGTGCTGGCAATTGACAGCTGAAAGCACTGTTAAAATGTAACTTATTTGTTATGATTGGTGGGGGGGTGTCTAATCTCAGTTTATAATATGCAATACAGTTTGTTCAATGTATATATTGTATTAAAATTTAAGAAAGAGGAGAATCTATACTGTTATTCACACATTTTATTTTTACCTGACTTTAGTATTTTAACTTTTGTATCACCGTATACACTGTTTTATAGATTGCTGTATGTGGACTTTTATATGTGAAAAATGTTGTTTTTTTCGATACACAAACCCATATCAACAATGCAAATCAAATAAGACAATATGTAATTATATATAATTTGACATTGTTAAGCATATTAGAAGATGTCTCATCTCGGCTTTTGCTTACTAACACCAATAATGATTTACTTTTAACTTTTTACCAATTTCAAACTATAAATAATTGTTTTTGGTGTCCCTTTATGTCAACGTGAAAACACAGATGAATCCCCAGTGTCATCTGCTTACAAAATTGTATGTTAATTTACGCTTATTAGGAGTATTGTTTAAGCGTGGTCTGAACATGCGTTTGCAATTACAGCTGCCAATGGCTTCAACATTGACAGAAATAACTTTCTCGGTGATCTTTTTTTCAATCATGTTTATTACGAGTTCCACCATATAATGGTAATTCTAATTATCCAGTCCGTAATTTCCATATTGCATTAATTTAAACAGTATCGTCACAGATTGGTTTTCTCTAAATCCATATTGCAATGGTTAATGTGAAATTGACACAGAACATTTATTCTATGAAAGATATACCACCAAGGTTATGTGATAAAGACATTTCAATACCAGACATTAAATTGAAAAATGTCATATCCCCAGTCTGTTTACAAAGTGACTAAACAATTTGGTACCGTAGTTGAAGTAAAACAATATAACCTACCATGGCATAAAGTATTTTAAACTTGTCATAACCCAGTTATTCATATGTGATACTCCATGTTTCCATCTTTGACATCGTAATATCATATTTGGTAAAACCTTACCATATTTGGTCTTTGCATAATTATTGGGAGCAGATGTTTTTTATGTACATTATTAATTGTATCATTTGAATTGTTTGTAAGAAAAAAAAGTCCAGTAAGATATCATGTATAAAATAGCTCAAAATTAGGAAACAATTGTCACAATAAAGAGAATACTGATAAAGCAGTCTGTTTTGTGTCCTTGCTGTGGCTTTTGCTTTGAACTCCTGGTAGACCAGTTCCACTGACTTGTCTCACTCAAGCTGGCACTTATAAGTTTAGGTGGAAGCAATCACAAACTGTTCATCCAAATTGTCATTATAGAAATTCTACAAGATGAAAGCAATTATAAGAGATCTTTATTATTCATCTTGCATTCATAAATACAATAATTCTATCATTATACATATTTTGTACTTTGAAACATTTTCCCTTGCTCCCACCACCATATAAATGTCTTTATTAATAAATGTAATAATTAAACAATGTACACTGCAGTCCTGGGCATAACTAAACTCAAGTTGGCTATCGGCATGGCTTTGACTATTCATTAAAATTTATAATTTTAAAATGAATATCATCCATAATATTCTTTGTAATATTTACCTGTTTTACTAATAAAGGACATTTTTAGAAAGATTGTTCTGTACAATTTACTAGTAGATATGTAAGACTTTTAAAAACGAGATGCTATTTAAACGGTAAATTACACTCGGCACTAGCATAAAATCTTTTTTCATTGCCGAGTTGAACCTAACTATCATTCTTCCCATTTGTAAATAATTGAGAGTTAAAAAAAAAAAAAAAAAACATCTTTCAAAAATTTACATTATGTTTAATCGATTGATTTATGCTATAGAAACAACCTTGATTGATCTATAGTAAGATGTATAGACAGTTTCAAAAAGTAGTAAATACAATAATGATAAAAATCAGTATTAAACTACTCTAACCATGTGCACTAGTTAGCTCAATTAGTCGTCATTTGTAAATTTAGTTAACACATTCTGTTCGCTACGTTATTAACATTTTGAAAAGATATGCTTTAAAATGCACATACATCTTAATTTAGGATGTATATCAACTTTTAAAATTTCATATCAAAAATTAAATGTACAGAATGATTTATTATCATTGGTTTGGGTAATATAAACATAAAACACTGAATATGATATCTATCTAGATTATGAAAAAACAACATCTGTTCTTAGTAACAATAGCAAATTATCACAATTGCTTTCTTCTATTTTTCATATCAACTTTTCAAATTAAAGGTACAGCATGGTATATTAATATTGGCTTTGGTAATATAAAACACTGAATATGTCTGTCTAGATTATGAAAAAACAACATCTGACCTTAGTAACAATAGCAAATTATCACAATAGTTTTTTTGTTTTTTTTTAAAAAAACAAACAAACAAACCCTGCACCTAAAACAATAACTGTTAATAACATTCAAGGTGTGTCACCTTGATATCAATAACCATTTGAGCACATCATTTTAAATTTGTTCAAATTTTCTGCAATTTTCACTGAATTCTTAATTTTGGACCACACAGACAAAATGTGACATGACTTCTAGTTGTTGATCGAAAATTGAAATTTTTGCAAAATTTCATTTGGAAAAAAAAAAGATTATAAATGACGCTCAAAGGATTAAGCTTAATTGCATATATGTGAAATATTTGAGAAATAACCAGCATGTACCCTTGTGAGTACGAGTAACTGGAACAAGGCAATCATGAATCTGTACAAGGTAAAAACACTATACAGCTGTGTTAGCAAATAAATCCATTAGGAAGGCCTACCAAAATTATCATTGCATGTGCTAAAAACACACTTCATGCTAATGAGGTGCTTGCAGCAATACCCCCTGCAATTGTTTCAAGTTAGTTGAGTATAGGTATATAAGTATAAGTGGTCTTGATGATAAAATACAAATTTTGAATTCACGCTTGGACACTTTAATCACTATCAAAAAAAGATAAACATCTTCTGTTTACCAATATTCCCATCGCCAGAAAGGAGGGCAGCCTTCCACATCATAAGTACAATAACATTCATGGTCAGGAGGACAGCCAAGAATAACTTCTATCTTCAGTCTTCTACTGCTTCTCTACAAAGATAAAATATAGAAATTTTTATTAATATTAATTCTATTTTTGAATAGTGCTCTTTTTAATGGTATTTTCTATGGAGACTGGCTTTTCAATTTTTACGCAAGAATTACAACTACGGTACACAGGGTTATCACACCTGATAGGCAAATAAATTCATACTTGTTCACGCACAGTATTTAGAAAAGTACCGTAGGTGGTTAGTGAGTGAGTAGAAGGCCAGATAATCAACTTTCAGCCTCCTTCTAAGGAACCCACCTGAAAATGGTTGAGTAAAAAAAAAAGTGCAATTTCTTTCGCAAAGCCTACTGTGTAGGAATGTATGAATGATCATGTAATAGATCTGATTGGAAGTGCCTGTGAAATATGTGTCCAATCATATCCTTGGGCGGACATCCAGTGAAAACAAATTCAAATATTAAATAGAGATTGACCTAAGCATTGTCTATGCCCAAAAATGCATGCATATGCCTTCACTTGACATTGAAATTGCACATGCACATATAATCAAAATTAGGCACTTGCTGATTGGATAATGTTAATTATCTCATTAATATTAATCAGAACTAACAATGATACCACCACATCATCATTGCTTGATTGCTAAATTTGAATTCTAACATCAATTTTGATTTATAAAAATATGTATTTATAAAACTGACCCCCAGCTTTCTGCCCACCACTATATGCATCAACTGTAACTTACGAAAAGTCCACCTGCTGTGGATCTGTGAACAGAAGGAAGTTCTTCAATTGTCTGGAAAGAGTGAATTTCTCTATGGCATCTACATACTTCTTTCCAAGCATCACTCGAAGTGCATGCCGGCACTGATGTTGAAGAGTCCGCGGAATCCTTCTCATTTGACACACTTTATTACACAACAAGATATAGCTATCTAACGCAGCAAGGAGATCATCAGGAGTGGCTAGGTCCCAGTGGTACTTTTGTTGCTTTATTACGTAATTAGTGACGGCAGCCTCGCAATGAATTAGAAACATAGTGGAATTCCAGTTTGCAAATGAGTTTACTATAAATCCTACTGTATCTATATGGCGATAATACAACGAACTCATTGCCATAATTAAATCATAGTAGTCAATGGGCGAGAAACAAGCTCCTTTCATGATCAGCGTTTTCAGCCACTCGAAGTTGGTGGGTTTATAGACGACAAGCAGGTCCTTTCTAGCCCCTGTTATGAATTCATCCAATACTGTCTTCCCATCTGAATCAACCGTATTCACATCATCTACTTTATCAACTATCATCGGAAGCAGATCTTTGATAATATGGCCGACGACTAAGAAAGGTCTTGGGAAGATTTCTTTCAGCATACGCACGTTCTTGAAGAAAATGTGCAATAATGTCTGTTGACGGTCATTTTTTCCATTAAAATCAAACCCATGGTTACCGAGAAACTCAATGTAGTTTGTTAGGAACATCTTCTCTAAGTTTAAAAAAATCCATTGTTTAGCCGTTAATTGGACACCCCCGAAAGGACCCTCATCCAGATCATCGCAATTCTTCAGAAGGCCCTCGACATAGCAGAACCACAACGCAAGCGCCATGTGGGCCAGTGTGTTGCCATTCTCGCCTTTCCTTGCGTTGACATCACAGCCGTGTTTTATAAGCAACGATAGGATTTCTTTCTCCCTGGGAGTATGCGCCAGGTATCGCCTCGTGGACAGCACGTAGAGTAGCTCGTCCTCGGGTGGGTGACCATTTTCTAGCAACATGGTCACTAGTTCGGTGTTGCATCTAACAGTCGCACAGTACAGTGCTGACGCGTTTTTCACCCCCCTGTATCTCTCTCTGGACACTTCCCCATACTCAGACTTTTTACATTTTCTCAGATCGAGCCCATACTCTATCAACAACTTCAACAGCTTGGGTTCTTTGTCCATCTCGCTGCAAATCGACACGATGGCTAGAGGTGTGATGGGATTGAACGGTGGGTCCGTCATGCTACCTGTTATAGTAGCGATCCTTGTTTCTTTCAGGTACTCACCAACTTCGAACTTCATACCTCCGTATGCCTCCCTGAATTCCATGTCTACAGGGCATCCTCTTTCCAGCATGTACTTTAACCCACGATAATTATCGGAGCATAGTACACGCTGGTACATTTTTTCAAATTCTGCACGTTCCTCCTCCGTCATACTCTCCAATAATTTATCCTTGCCATATTTCTCCACAAGCGCGTCTAGTGACTTGTCGTCCAACCCTCGCTGGTTTTTACACATGTTATACTTGAACATGATTCTGGTACAATTTGGGAGTGACAGAAACCACTTCGGAAAAGAACTACGTGTTTCTATTAAATTGGCTTCGGTAAAAGGGACTTTCCGTCCTTGTCGTCACGTGACCAAAGTACGGGACTCTCCCCGTTTTATTCCCAGGGTTCCTTGCACCACTTTGTAGATTTAGAACAGTTTGGGGCTTCCCCAGGACGTTTTCTGTATTTCCCGAATTCTGGTAGTTTTCTGTGGAATCTGTACGTTCCGGAATTTGGCAGTTGTGTTATTTCCGAGCAGAAAGCGACCCCTTAACAAGCCAAACTCGGCCAAACTAAGTCAGAAACTTCCCCAAACTAGGCAAATAGCTAAATAATGTGCAAGTCAATCGCATCATGGAGGCAGGTTTTCGCAGGTAGTAAGATTTCCGGAAGTGACGTTATTATGATAAGAACTTGTTGAACAGTGGCGGCGACACGGGGGGTGCAGTCGACCCCTCGAAAAAAATGGGGGGGGGGGGGCGTCGCCCTCTAAAATCAAGCTGAAATCCTCTGTGTCAACAAAATTTGCCTCTCAAAATGCAGGGGTCCAGATTTCAAAATTTTTAAGAGGAAGCATGTGCCCTCGGACCCCCTAGTATTGGAAGGTGAACAGATCTCGCACCCATGCAAAAGGTCGTGCCGTCGCCTCTGCGAGACTTGCACTGAGTCTCTTGTTTATTTACTCTTGTATATTTATTTTACTTTTGTGCTAAATATCAAATTAAGGCACATGTCAGTGTACGGTCAATGTACAAGTACCTGGATATAAAAAGCTGCTACACTGAAGCCAAACGAAATTTAGCAGCTAAAGCAGCCCGAGCAATGTATGCATTGAAACCTACCTACCACCAGAAACAAATTGTAGAACTTACATCCATCTTTTTAAAAGGTGTATTCAACCAATATTATTGTACGGGTCTGAAATATAGAAACATGAAATTCAAGATTACAACAAATGGGACAAAACAATAACAGAAAAAAACACAATTGAATTGTTACAAAATACTAGGATTGAACAAATTGTGGCAAATATTGCACGCAGAGCCGAAATAGGATAATTCCACTCTTAGTAGATATCTTAGTAGATAATTCAGTAAATTACCAGGCAATAATATCACAAAACAAACATACCTTGAACAAAAGAAATCCAATTTACAATGGTATTCTTCAATACAAAAAATGATGAGCAACATGAATTTTTCACTAGAACAACAGAATGAGTTGCTAAAGCGCGGTGGTCGTCGGGCAGCGCGTGTTCGAATTTCATGTAAATAAACAATGTATTTTACACGCGATGAATACAAATTCAATTTTCGTGAAGATTGAAGTAAAGGTATTGAAAACATGTTAACAAGTACATGTATGCAAATTTGTAGCTCAATTAACTTTGAAAATAAAAATGCTTATTTTTGGTATATTTTTAATACTATGCTAATACGATGCCAACTTGGAGCTACCTATCAAGATAACCCGACACGCCCTCTAATAGTCGTATCTCAAACATATTTTGTTCATAATAAAATGGAAATGACATCATTGTATAGACTGGCTAGAATTATTGTTATCTGTCACCAAGTCAATATTTAAAAAAAATTGAATTAATTGCTATAATAAATACCATTGTATGTCAAATACAGTTTAATTTTATGTATTTTCTAATATTTTGGGCTTGTGGAAATTTGAAAAAATACTATAGCTGCGGTTTTTGTTTTGTGTCAGGATATTTGAAATTCGTGGGCTTCACAGACAAGATTTATCCGGACCCAAAACGACGCAAAACCACAGGTACCCGACACGCTTTGCATTCGAATTTGTATTCGTAACTATTTGGATTCAGTATATTGACATTTACATTCGAGTAATAAACATATATTTAAAGGAATAAGCTTTTTAATAACGGGAACATAATTCAAATCAAATAAAAATTTCATTTTTGATTGAAAAGAAGCTAATTGTTTATATGAAAAAATATAAAAAAAGGAAAAACAGTAAAATAAATAAATAAATAAATAAATAAATAAATAAATAAATAAATAAATAAATAAATAAATAAATAAAGAAAGAAATAAAGAAATAAAGAAATAAAGAAATAAAGAAATAAATAAAGAAAGAATATAAGTATTACAGATTTCATTTTATTAACTTCAAGTATCTATTATAATAAAATATCACTGTTTACCATAACCTGTAGAGTGACTTGTATGAAAGAATAAAGTTATTATTATTATATTTCAAATACAACACTCAACTTGCACATAATTTGTCAAGTTGTGAAAACCCCTAAATCGCCTTTTTTCTGACTGCCTACATTGAACAACCATTCTCTACCAGCCTGAGCTACCAAACTGCAATTTCCTGATGTCCAGCAATAAACATTGGTCATTTTCTCACCGTCATCGCCAAACCGCCATTTTCTGACGTCCACCACTAAACCGCCATTTTTTGAAGGCCACCAATAAACCTATATTCTCTGAAGGTTTTCAGTAGACCACCATTGCGATGCGATTTATAGTTTAATTAAACTCGTATAAATAAGAACTCTGTATAGGGATGCGTTTTGATTGAGTTTAATTAAATGAAGCTCAAAGTAGTAGAAATGACATCATATTCATTGTAACTTGATTGATAATGGTTTACGTAGCTTAGGGATAATAAAAATGGGTTAGGTATACTAGTATTACCGATATGTGACTTGTATCATACCTTAGCCTTTTCTATAACCCTACACTAAATTATGGAAACATTGTTTTACAGATTAGAATTGCTGAGAGAGTTTTACCTTTAAAGGGCGATGGTCATCGCGCAGCGCGTGTTCGAATTCCATGTAAATAATGCATTTTACACGCGTTGTATACGTCGCTATGAGTCCCATATCGAACAGGACGTGTCGCGATGACCACCGCCCTTTAATAAGATCGCACATCGCGGTTCAGTGGTCACCTTCTCTGGCGCCCTCTCTGTTGGCTTTACATGATTTGTACCCCAAACCCCCGTAGTTTAGTTTACACTCACTACAAACACAATTGACTGAAGGGGCGATCACAATATGCCCCCTTCCTCATGACGTTGTAATCATGGGTAGGGAAAAATAAGACTGCTATAAATCTCGAATATTAAGTATATTGGCCCCGTGTACCTTTCGCCGCGCCACCAAACTACATTAAAACGAGTAAATATACGGTGTCCCATACGGTGTCATAGCAAAATGATAAACAAATATGTGATTTTAAATGAAATTTTTTTCGCTAAATGGTTATTATATAAAGGATTGTAAAGGCACGGGTACACGGATCGACAAGCTGCAACTTCCGTTGACAACAAATGTTTTTCCGTGTTTCGTGCAATGTTGCAAGTTGACAGTGTCCTCAACAACCCGCAACTTGTTATCAAGAAAAGAGCATATCACCATTTAAATCAACAAGTTGCAACATGTTGACGAAAATCAGTCAACATGCAACATGGCATGTTACACGACGCATTTTTTGTTACAACAAATGTTGACTCGTATATCATGTCCTTAAATATAAGTTTTTTTAACTCTTGAAACTTTACTGAGTTTCATATATAATGCAACTTAGTAGAACATTTTTTCGATTTGTTTATTTTTACGGTAAAGAAATATTCGATCTTCTAACTTCTGGTCTATTTTACCAACCTTCATTTTTATTCCAGTCCTATTGACGACAAGTCGTTCCTAACCTGTTTCTAATCACAACTGAAAATTTATAGGTCACACATACCTAAACAACATAATACAAATCTAAAAGAAAGAAATTTTATGCAGATTTTAATCGTGCACATGTCCAAGCAACACAGTTGTTTATAAACAATTATATGTTTGTAAAAAAAATAGGTCGGAGAAATGAACAGATGTGCATGCAAGTAGTGTACTACGTTAAACAGGTCAAGTTCATGGAGTCGTAATCTAACCCTAAATCGTGTTTCTTGTGGATGGTAATTGTAATTTTAGTGTTTTTTTTATATTTGGTTTTGTTGTTTTCTAATTTTCTTTTATGTTTGTTTCTGTAACAATCAGCACCCCCCCCCCCCTCACGCCATCGAAATTGT